ATGTCTTTTTACAGGTAAAATGTATACTGAAAGTCATACACATATTTTTTGTCACACACTTACAGACTTTATGGTGATTAATAATGAAAATATTCAAAGCTATACAAATAATTAAACATGTAACTTTCTAGTACAAACTATTACCTATAAGTAATGTAAATAATTAAATCCAAGCTTTTGATTAGAAAAATATGGTGAATGTAGGTTATTAATAATTTGATCAAAACATAATTATTTTAGCTCAGTTAACAATTTAAATGAAATGAGTTCCATACAATTTGACGAACATAATACATTTTGAATTCGCAGTTATAAACAAGATACAAATACATGTATTATTAGAAGAAAGTCAATTGTTGTTTTTTTAATATTGATATCATATTAACTCTTAATAAATATAAAAATATATATTTATAATACATAGTGATTAGCGTTCAATGGTTTATTTGTTGCGGTTGTTACGTTAACTACGACTTATGCAATATCTTGAAAAGGATAAGATAAAATATAATTTTTTCTTTCATAAGTTAAGTTCGTTTTCTTATTTTTAAGCTATGTTTATTTTTTAAAAATATATTTTTGTTAAAAAAATTCAATATGATTAAGTTTTAAGGAGCTAGAACAACATTGAATTAAAGTGTGTGTGATTTTAATAATTTCCGAAAAGCAAAATTATATTTTATCTTATTTTTATATTAATTAGCTAACGGATCTCCTCGTGTAGTTTAACTCATATTTGTACGCTATTGTAAATTGAGACAATACGTCTTGTAACCCTATACAATCTCGTTCCTACATCTAAATGTAATATTTTGTTTGGTTAGAGGGGTATATATAACAAGAAAAGTTTAGGTTGAAATACTATACTTCTGACATGTGTAACGCACTTTAAGCGTAATAATGTAAAAGCTAATAAATAAAACATTTTGAAGTTTTATTTAACAAAACATTGTTATTTAGTTAAAGAGTTTCCGGGTTGTATTTTTCAATAAATATCAGTTGGATCTAGCTTTTATTGGTTTTTTAGCTACCAAAACAACTATGATTAATTATGTTAATTCTAAACTACAACGCAGACATAATTGCTCTTCTTAGCACTGTTTCGTGTACACAGTAATTAGTGTATGAACGATTTCAGAGAATCAACAGTTCTAATTAAAATAAACAAAAAATATAAGACAAATGTTAATCATTTAAGTTGACGATAAGCAGTTAGAATTATTTCCAACGATAATTTGAAGGCGAAACTCAAGAGCTTTGTCTGGAAAAGTGTATTTAGTCAATTTGATGACAACATTTTCAATAAGATAATTGTTTTCCTACAATTTCAAATTTCATAGATGTGTCCTGCACAAATAACCTTAACGCTGTTTAACGTCCAGTAAGTAATGACCGAAATCTTGCGCTATTCACAGTTTTCAATGAAAACAAATAAATGGTAATGATGAACTCAAAAAGCTTGCTAATATCAATCAGAAAACGAAAACATCGTTAAAGTAGTTTTTACTCTGTCAACGTCAAGTCCACAGTTTTACTATCATTACTGGCACAAACTTTAACGACTGACGGATTTTATTGAAACGTGGTTAAATGGATGTGCCAGCCGAGTTAGACAACAGGACCGTTCGCGTTATTTATTAGCCGTAATTGTGTCACAAACGAAATGTTGTAATTTTTATTTTTTATTAAACGTTCACTAGCAAGCGTTGGAGTATTTTTATACAACATTTAAAAAATATTCGACGTAAATTTTAAGTAATTATAATAATTAATTTTGTAACATAAATTAGTTTTTGGATCATTTGACATGCACTTCTTGTTTGTCACATATGTACCATTTGTATATTTATGATTTCGGGCAATTATTGACTTGAATTTGAATTTTAGATTTAATAGAACTCAATTTTTTTTTAATTCAGATAAATTCAATAAACAATCATATTCACTAAATGAAGTGTAATAATAGAAATATGTAAATAATAAATAATCAAAATGAATCGGCTTTATCTGTGGAAATAATCATTGTGATAGAGTAACACTACCAGTGAATAAACACTAACAAAAAATGAACACCAATGATTTTTTAAACTTAAAAAATGTCTAATCGTTTTGTAACAAGTTGTTGTTAGAAGTTTTTATAACAAAAAAAATCTAAATCAAGTTCAGCAACTATAATATAATTTTAAAATTACGATATTGTCACAATGTTTGATATAACATAATTCACTGAAAAATACCAATTTTCAATACGTAATAAATGAAATCAATTTTTGTGTCAATTAATAATAAATATTTTTACACTATTACTATAGAGAATTTTTGACTGAACCAATATTTATTAACTTTATAAATGCGACATCAAAAAATAAATTAATAAAGAACTTCAATAAAACGAAAAACTCTTAACTGTTCATTAACTGGGGAAGTCACCCTACTGTTTTAATTTTTAATTTTAAAGTAAAACTGAAAAAAAGACCACCAATCGTCTTATAAAAAATATTAAGTATTAAATTATGCGTTACTAGTATTCTAAATGAAATTATTTGAACCACTTATAATTCAATTTTAATTTTGATGTAATTCGTTATAGACGATGTCACATTTAACGAAAATAAAAAAAAGTAGGCAACAAAGTCTTCTTCCGTTCTCTAAAGGTTGATTTTTTTTATTCGCAACTTAAACAATACCTAAATTTACTATCTAAACGTTTTTTAATTAAAAAAATATTTTAAGTGTAAGTACTATAAACGGCATTTAATACAATTCGCCGCAGTTGTACTGAATATTTTTCTAGAGATTATATTAAGCAAAACGACATGATTGCTTCCCAGGAGAGGGGAATTGTAACGATGGCTTAAGGTAAGAAATTAAGTCACTAGAACGTGGTGTCAAATAACAGTAATTATTGTACTTAAACGTCGATCCAACTAATATAAATATATATGCTGTAAAAATATTTACTAGGTGTCCTACGGAAGAGACATGTCAGTAAAATAACGCACACGCATTAATTATTAATCGATTGCTATAATAATGTTATTTATGCATGTATAGTATGCACACATTAAAAAGTGGTATAAAAACCAGTTAAATAAACGCTTGTTTATAATATTTCAAGGATAAATATTAATTGATATTTTCGTATACATAATTTGCCGCATTAGTTTCGAAACGTATAGCTTCACATGTTAAACAGTACGTGCATACAACGAGTATACGCATTATTATTATTTTAGGTAGTATAAAAAAAGGCCCTATCAGATTTCACGAAACGCTGAACAACTGAAGGTGTCCAATACATGTACACACACGTGTGCAGGCAATACATTAATCATCAACAAGACGCTACAGTAATGTTTAGTGTTCACAAAGAAAAATGATTGAGATTTTTTATGAAATACGTCTCTAGTGACACTTCCGAGTAGCTGAGGGTGTCATAAATAACGGCAGAGTATCTAATTTAAAACATCGCCAAACTCATTGTCTACTAACGTAATTGCACCAAGTTTTATGCAAAATTACAATCATCATTTCGCATCCTATTAATTTTAATGCACTAATTAAGGCATCGGTTTGCTTTTTTTACCGAAAGGATTTGTGAAACTCGTTTAATTGCCAAACTGCAATTATACTTTATGTATAGATACAAGACACACGACATTCGTACCTAATGCTTTTGTATTCTCTATTCAAGGTCATTATTTTCCGTAACAATTCAATCCTAAGTCAAATACAGCAGTCTAATTTCTATTCGAAAAGTACGTTTAATTGTTTATTTTTTTTAGACAACATACATTATACATTTATACTTATTATACATTTGATTTAAAATATAATACCATTATAATTGAAATGATTCAACAACAATAATGTATTTTAACACTACATTTATAATACTTTGCATTACTCAATGTGTAACACATAAAATCATTATGAAAAATACTGGTGCTGAATCCGACTAATATTTTAACAGACATAGTAAATTTTAAATAAAAGTTTTACCTTTATGTTATTTATTTGGCTGATATGTAAGAGTAATTTTTAAATTAAGGTAATTTAAAGAATTTCATATGAGGCAGGTGACGTAAACGGCAAATATCACATTTTTGAAATTGATTAAAAAATTAATCTCCACAGCACAGTAGCAAAACTGTATAAATCGTTTGTAGGTACACAAACATTTTGCTAGATTAACTTAGAGTGGTGATTATCTTTAAGACAAAATTAATGTGTTGAGTGACATGTTAAAATGTATTTTTAAAACTTATACGTGTAATGTGACTGTTGAATAGTTATTAATATTTTTCAGGATGTATGTTGTGAATAGTGAGTAGAGAGATTTATAATTCATTAACCGTTGTAAACGAAACATTAGTACTACTTAAGGTTGTTGGTTAATTTTAGTTTTTATGTTAAACTGAAGTGATTCATTGTTTTGAACTTTGCATATAATATGTAATAAAATTATCTGATATTTCTATTACTCCAGTTTTCTCAATGAAAATTTAATTATGAGTATCTGAGATAAAATAATTTTATTTCATAAGATAATATGTTATAAAATCTAACAACAATGTTTTTAAAAGACGGTTAGGTATGAAAAATTGGTGTAGATTTTATTTATTCCAAAAATGATTATAATTTGGAAACTATATCAGTTAAACAAGTAAACACATGTCTTGTTACATTATCAGAATAGTTTGGAACTAATTATTTCAACAATATTCTAAAACAACACTGACCGTTTTAATAACAGTGGTTCCAAAAATAAGTTAATTGAAAGTCAATAAATGTTATACCCAACAATAATTAAAAAATAATGAGATTATGTAAATTTATTGAATACTGTTTTGTTATACGTAAACGTTATAAAGTATATATATATATGTTATAAAAAAATATTCATCAAAATCCGTCTATTTTGACCGGTGTCGAGTCAACTGATTTAAAATTTATAATTAAAAATCATTATTAAAAACATAAGTTTTCCATCAACATACTTGTTATTTTTAGTTAGTACTCGATCAGGTGCAGCACGTGCACCGCTGCCGACGTTGATCTCGTCGTTTTCGAGCCGTTATCCTATCAACTGACTGTTGATGTGCTAATAAATTTAATCAGTTAAATGAACATGTGTAATTAGCTTTAAAATGATTCAAACACAATTAGCGCAACAAAAGCATTACAGCCGCTTGACCACGATCGCGCTGTCATGTCACTTAATCGTTCGTGCGATGACGACGACATAGGGACGCAGTAGGTCCGCTACTGAATGGAACGAACTGCCGGCAATGTGCTTGTCACTCGCATGGCGCTAGCGCTAACGTAACGCAACCCGTTCTAGCGAGTCATTCCTCAATGAATATGTTGTTTTACTCTGGAATTGTTATTTCAATGGATTCGACAAATAAGTGCTGGATTGGCATTGTCATTTTTCAAAGCTGTCGGCAGGGGGCATGGCTATTCACAATTTCAAATCATTCGACAAATCCATTAAACAATAAGAAATCGAATTCAAAATTAAAACTATTCATTTAAAACTAAAAATTTTTTAACTGAAAAAAACCGTATAAAAATTACTAAAAATCGCGGATACGTATTTCGGAACAATATATTACCATTAACAACGCTAAACACACAGTGACACCCCGACAGGAATAACCCCCTTAAATATCCCTAGTGACGTTATCACTAAGTAATTTTATAACATTCGCCAGTTTACACAAGTTCAATAATGAATTCTTCAGTGGTTCAAGACCTTAATTAAATAAAATGTTTTTGTTTTTAAACATTTTTATTGCCTCCCTTATATTATGTTCTTTGTAATTTTTTACGTTTTTAATTGGTTTTAATGAATTGATTATCTGTTAATATTGGGCTACAGGAGATTTACCAATTCTTGATTTTTCTAATGATTCTTAAATGTTCTTAAACCGGACACTTTATTTCTTTTTGTTTGCCCAACATATTTGTCTACTTTATCTTAAGGGTTAGAATTATCTTTAATAAATCTCTTAAATTATTACTTTTGTATGTTACTTAAGTATTACCGAAATTCTTAACAATTTTAGCCAGTCCATTTGAAATGGCCGAACAGTATAAAACAGATGATGGAATTAATTTTTGTTTCCCCACTTTAGTGAGTGTACTAGTTGCTCGCCCATCTTTTTTTATTCCACTTACACGTACGGACTAATTTTGAATTTACGTTTTCGTTAGGCCCATCTCACCTAGTGCGTTTTCTTACGGGTCGTTAATAGATACGTTGTTATTATGTAACATTTTACAGCACCGCGTACGGATTTCAAGTCGCGCGTTTTTTATAATCCGTACGCGAGCTGACCAAACATTGATATGAATGAACATGTTCACACTGACGCGTACGACGTACGCGTATTTTTTCGTCATTTTTTCATGACTTCTATCCCTAGCAAGTTCTCGAAAATCTCGACTATCATTGTAGACACTGAAATTTTAATAAATGAAGTTCAATTAACACCGAATTTGTGGAATTCAAGGGATGAAAGGTATAAGGACAGGGATGTTAGAGCAGCAACCTTTAGAGAAGAAAGCGCAATGTGTTGTAGCGGAGTTCGATGCTATGAATAGCAACAATCAAAAAGATGCATGTGAGTATTTAAGCATATATATTGTACACAAGCATTGTCCCCTTTGGGGGCGGGCGATTGCTCATCCCATTAAAATGTTTCCAATAAAATAAAATTATCTTACAGATAGGTCACAACAAACGATTATGTTAACGCATAAGGTGAGAGGAGGTAAAATGGGAGAATAATTGGAATTTATCATTAATTTTCATTTAATATTAGTACTATTTGTTTTTAAGAGTGTTCCGGAAAGTTTAATAAAAAATTGAATTCGTTTACTTGTAAAAAATAAATCGCTCACTCTCAAGTTCATTTTGTTGTCAAATAAACACGTTCTAATAACGTTCAATAAAAAAGTGAATACATTCATAAAAGTTGTTTTTATTTATGAATAGTTTACCTGCAGTCTGTATAATTATCCATTAATATAAACGATTCAATTCAAACAAATTTATATCTCTACAAAAAAGTTATAAAAGTCATACCTTTAGTGGCGTAATTGAAGTTTCTTTTAAGACGGCATATAAATAAAAAAAATGGTCACTACCTAAACCCCCCCAAAAAATTGTATCTACATTAAATATTTTTGTTCTTAAGAAATCATACGCCTAAATCTTTCTTAATTACGCTCCTGGATACATTAGAATGAATTATGACACATTCATTTCTAAGAAAAATGTGCACGTTTTTTATTTAAATTCATTATAAATTAAAGAAAGTAATTATAAATTTACAAAGCAATTATACTATAATTAAATCGCTTATGAGATTCTGAGTAATTTTTAACAAGTTGAAAAAATCATAAATTAAAAAATTTCATCGTTCCCCATAAATAGGAGAAATTCCCAAAAAATTACGATTTTTAAAATCAGTAAAATTCAACATTTTTTAAACTTATTTACTAAAAATTATCAACTTTTTTAAAAATGGACGAATAAAAACATTTTTTTTAAATAAACACCTTAGATATTTACTTTTTATTAAGTATATATTTTGACCCTTTACCATACACCTTGTCTGTTGGACATTCATTTTGAAAATAAATAGAAAACGCTATAGCAAACACGCGGTATAGTATGAAAAAAAAAACGCTGAACGTTTGAAAGCGCAGCGTACGAGAATATTGTATATGCGCTTGTGTGAAACGGGCCTTATGCCCATAAAATCTAGCTATTTCTCTTATAACACCCAGTTCTCTATCAAAATCTATTTTATTTATCGGAATATTAACTAATCTGTAAACCATATTATTAAAAGTTGCCATTTATGTGTTGCCAGCTGTGGTTCGAATTGTTCGGAATGTACCTGAACGTATAAATTTCCGATAAATTTCAAAATTGAGTTCCCCCTCTTTTACTCAGTTTACTCTTTGAATAAATTTCAAAAAGACAATTTTCCTTCTACTTCTTGTTCGTATGTAAATTTAATTGACGGATAAAAAGAATTTAAATATTGTTTGAAGGACTCCGTATTAAAATCTTTGTTTATTACTGCAAAAATATCTTGTACATACCTAACCCAATTTTTAGGAAATTCACCATAGGTGTGTTTTAAATTTGTTTCGAACCTGCTCGTGAAAATTTCTGCTAAAAGTGGTGATAACGGATTTCCTTTTGCTGTGATCTCAGTTTGCTCACAAAATTTATTTAAAAAATTGTAAAACATTTTGATTCATACATAACTTTTTTGAATTAATAAGCTTATTTATTTTATTTAGTAATTGTTTCGTGGCTTTTTAAGTTAAACCATTTTAGTTTTAAATTAATATTTTTATTATAATTTTAAATAATATTAGCCCTAAGTGATCAATTTTTATTAAATAAGAAATCTTAAGCTCTATAATTAAAAGTCAACGTTTCTAAATTTTAAACTAAGTGGACATTAACGAGTTTGAATAGTTATTCAAAACGTTACTCATAATCGCCAGACAATATGTTTACATTATTCAATATGTAAGGTAAGACTCTGTAACGTATCCCACGCTAAAAAAAATTCTCCGATAAATTAACATATCGAGATACGTCCAATAAACATTTTGTTAAATGAATCATAAATTTTTGTTAATTTAATCAGTATTTTTGTCCGAAGAATAAAATATTATTTTGTTAAATCAACAGAAAAGAAAACGGTTCAACTAATAAAATAAATACTATCTATTATTTCTTTTAATGTAACAAAAAAACATATTTTCAATTGTTGAATGATTCAAGAGATCAAATTTGTTTAAATGTAAGTGGTAGTTCGCAAAATGAACTGAATGGGTAAGAAATGTGATAGATTTGACTAAAGTATCCCTAGGGACATTTATTATTCTTAAAATGTAGTGAATATTTTCAATTGGGGTATATTTAATTTAAATATTTTCGTTTATCATATTTTATAACATGTATTCTACCTTAGTATTTATTAAATATTTCAGAAACTCCAGTATCGGAACGCTTTTAAATATATTTATGCACAAATTATTGTACTTCTCAATGTAAAAGTTTCGGTATAATTTTCAATGGAATTTTGACTATAATTCCAATGTAATCAGTTGTGTTAGCCTAGAGCAACTATTCATTAATAATTAGATAGGCGGGTAGAACATGATAGTGAGGAATTTCCACTTTATCACTTTCATCAATCCATCAACATGAAAATGACTTTGAAATAACGCATTAATCTATTAAATGATGCAATTCAGTTCAACACAAATATAAGGCAATTGATCAAATATATTTTGGTGATTAAAATTCTGTGGCTAAATTATATAACTAATAGTAATTTCATAAATTCTTTAAGTGAGCAAAATCCAAGTCAACAAATTTAAAACTGAATTTGTATTAATTAAAAGCATATAATAGGTTTTGTGTATTAGCTATTGGAACTACTTAACAAGGCCAAATATGAGGGTATAAATGTATAATATTTTCTATTTTCACGTTTTTTTTTTAACAAATTCAAATTTTTTATTTATAACTATTACAGATAAAGCGTATCGGAATAAAGAAAAGTAATAATTTCGACAAAATAACACATTAAATAGACATATATAAATTTAATAAAACCCAAAATATAAGCTAAATGTATAAAAAAAGTTATAAATTAATATTTTTTTAAGAATAAATATTGTGTATGTTTTTTACCATAAAACTTCCATATATTTTCGCAAGAATTTGCGTCATAACTATTGATGTTAATTTAAATATAAAAATGATCAAGAAGAAAATACGGTATAAATAATTCTTAATAATAACTTATAACAAATATATAGTTATTTATCTTAACAAAATAAAAATTCTAAAACTTAAACTCATTTACTCAAAAGTTACAATGAAAAAAAAAAACAAAACATCAATCTTAAAAAATAAATAACAAAATATTTTATATATATATATATATATATTAAATGTATTATTTCAAGAAGTGTATTGAAAGTAAATATTTATACAATTCTTAATATTGAAAAAAATAATAAATAGGTTTAAAAAACAGAATATTAAAATTGAACAATATTAAAAATATTAAGTAATTACACATCTAGTTAAAAATAAATAATTTAAAAAAACAGTACTTTCAATTTCCAGCATAGTGGGGTTGTAGAGTTCCAGTCTTTTTTTTTTTGGTTTTAGTAGCGCCTTTAGGACTATCCCGTCATATATCGAATCTTCCATCTATTTCGGTCAGTTTCTAACTGTCTTTCCAGACTGTTTTTCTTTTTTAGCTTTTCCACATCATTCTTCAATACATCTTCCCACCTCATTCCCGATATTTCAATGGGCCTTTTTTCTATTGAGTTCTTCTTTAGTACTGTTTGAAGTAATAGTTTTTGGTCTCTCCAAGTGTGCCCTGAAATATTAGTCTCTTATGTCTGATTGCTTAAAAAATGTTCGGGTTTTGGTATAGTGGTTTTAATTCCTCGTTTTATCTAATTCTTAAATCATTGGTTACACTGTCCTTCCAGTCCTTCTATAAGTTAACATTATTTTAGCTTCAATGTGAAGCTGAGACGGTATTAATTTTACTCTGATGTGCTTTTTTTAAATTAAAATTAAAAATATTGTAGGTTTTGAATAATAAATAATAGAAAAAATGTCGAATTAAAAATGTATAGAAAATTAAATTTAAAACAACGGTAAAATGAATTTTTTTTTTTTTGTTTTTACAATGAACGATTTATAAATTAACAATTTTAACGATAAGAATAGAACTTATACGTTTTTATTTTTTTAGGGCTAAATAAGAACTTTTCAAAAATTTTTGTAAATATACTTTTAATAGAAAAATTGTATACCTACAAAAAAGTCCAAATGAACTTTTTTGCAATAGCTTTTTGAAATAGACAAAAAAAATTATTTATCATTGTTATTTTTGAGAGTTATTATTTAATATATATTAAAATAGGGGACATGTTCAGGGACATTCTCAAAAATTGTGTCGGAAAAAAGTTTTTTAAATGCGTGATCGTATTTTTCTTTTAATTTTGAAGAGGTATTGTAAACAAATTAGTTGTCTCATAACAAATATGCTCTTCGATATTCGTTTTTCATCTAGGCCTTATTTCAGTCTAGTCATATCAGGCAGCCGCCTCGGGTATAAATTTTAGAGGGCAACCTTGACACATCAGATAATGATTTATGTTTCCTAATGAAATTTTTTTTAAATGATACCAATAAGGATCATCAACGTTCACTTTCATGAGACGATTACGAGATCTGGTCCTTCTCCCTGTTGACATAAAATTATAGTAATTAAAGAAGTAAAAGAAATCAAATTGGTAGAAAAATTAAATTTTTTATATAACAAAAAATTTGGTTAATAGACCACTGTTATTCATAAAAAGTTTATTTAACATTGTAAATAGAGATACGAAATTATTTAAATTATTTTTTCAATATATAATGAACATAAATAAAAAGTTATCTAAACATAAAAAATTACTTAACGTTATTCAAAATAAATTTGACAAATATATATTAAAATTTAAGACAAAATTTTGATGTTCGTAAAATAACTATGAGGAAAAATAAATACAAAACATATATTGGAGTAGCTGTTTTCGATAATATATTATTATAAATTTGATTTATTGATAATTGCCTTACTGTTAATAAAAAAGAACACAGTAACTACTAGTTATTTTAAATAACAAATAAAATATTTAGGTATTTAATACACTTAATTTATGATTTTTGTCATAGTAGAAAAAATCTTGTTTTCTGGTAAGTACATATTTCATTAAGTATTAATATAATAAAAAAATTAAATACTGGAAAAAAATTTGGAAAGTGGCATGAAATATTTTTATTTTATAAAATATTTGATGATTATTATAGTTATATTATGTTTTGTCTATATTTTTTAGAAAACAATAAGAAGAAAAATGTTAACTAGTTTTTTGGTTCTCTTATTTTTTTGTGCTGTTAGTGAAATTTCCAGTACTTCCACTTCTAACGATGGTAAAATGAAATTTAAAAATTTTATTTTGAGGTGGTGGTTGTAAATTTTATATTTTAATTAAATTTTTAATAATTTTATAAAATAAAATAAATAAATTATACTAAGCTGTTATAATTTAAGATATAGTTCTGAAATTATCATATTTATTTTATTTTAAAAGTTCACACCTATTTTTATGGTAATGGACTAAAACATTTTACAATAAATGTTTACTTATGAGAGTTTGTAATAATGTTTTGTTTGATTCACTGATCATTTAAAATTTTAAAGAGTGTATGAGTATCATGGTGATAGGTCACCGATTTTCATAAAATTTATATAGGATGATTTTTTATCATAACCCACTCAATTACTTGCAGAATAAATATAATTTTAAGGGAATTTTCACTACTTACAGGAAACGAGGGAAAATTTTTTAATTTTTGAGGGTAATGTCTTCAACAAGATACGATTTGTAATATTTTGACGTATCGTTGAGAAAGCTCGTTCCAGTCAGAGCTGGGAAAAAGTAGTCATTGACACAAAAAAAAAAAAAAAGATAAACACATAATGGTAAAATCTTCTCAGCTTCGCATGGAAGTTAAAAATTTAATTTGGATAAATAATTGTTGAATCTACTAAGATTTGATTGGTTCAACTAAATGTCTAATTAGGATAATTGAATAGATAAAGTTTATTAATTTAAAAAATAAATAACGTTAAACGCTATAAAAAACAATAAAGTTAATAAGTATCCTAAAAATGACAAAATATGATACCATACAAAAAATGTCCATACAAATATGTCTAGAACGGGAGTTTTTAATTTTTACAATCAGGATAACTTCGGTAGATGAATTTGATATTATTTTATAAGCATGCGTGAGTAACTTTTTTGTTTCGTGAACCTTTATTGACTGATAAGGACAATATCAGTTAGTTATTTAAATTAATATTATACATTTTTTAATTTAAAATAATACTTTTGTGTATTTTTTAAAACAAATTTTATTATAAAGTTGTTATTTTAGAATACTTATTAGATGAAGAAACGGTAAGGAATACGGATGGTAAGAAATTATTAAACTAAAATATTTATATTATTCTATCATCTTAGATGTTTTAACTACAATAAATGATGTTTGGTAGTATCCAAAGGAGTTGAGTATTTTTGGAATTAATGTCAACTACATCGGACTGTTGAATTGGATATGTAAAAATAATGATGTTGATATTATAGGTTAAATATTTTTGAAAATTTTTAAGGCCTTCAGTGTTTTGAGTCATGTATTGATTTAATAAAAAATTTGCTGAAAAGATAAACATATTACGCTCTTTTTCTTTGTCTCATCAAAAATATAAAGGGGAATGTCGTTAGATTGTGAGATTAATCGAACATGAACAGAACACATACACTTAGGTATAATGTTTGATAACTAAAACTAGATCAGTCATCCATTTGTGTTGTTTTTTACTAATAAGGAGAAGTCATGGTGATGGGGTCACTGATTTTCATAAAATTTATATAAATTATTCTGAAATTATCATACTTATTTTATTTTAAAAGTTCACACCTATTTTTATGTTGATGGATAATACATGTTAAAATAAATGTATCAACTTATGAGAATTTATAATAATGTTTTGTTTGATTCACTGATCATTTAAAATTTTGAAGACTGTATGAGTTTGTGATATTCATTGTCTGCTGAGAGATTTTCGAAGCTTAAAACTATGATTTTTTTATTATTAATTGATTTACGGCAAACCTATAAACAATTTCAAAAAAATAAATTATTTGAAATTGAAGTGTTCTAGTTCCGCCGTTACTTATTAACCCAAAAAAGAAAAAAAAATTATTAATAACTTATATGTAGAGGTTAAATGGGAATGGATTATGGCGATTGGTTCATTAATATATCTTCCATTAAAATATATTTTATGGCGTTTTTGTACAATATTCATAAAATACTGAAATTTTGGTAAAAACTTAAGTGTAAATGCTATTTTAAATTAGAAGATATTAAGTATAACTTATAATAAAAAAATTAATACAGTAAATTAAGGATAGAATGGTTTAAATAAAATGTCGACTAATATGTAACTCTATATGTATAACACCAAATAATTATTAAAAAAAAAATTTAATTTCGACAAATAATTGTTAAATCTACTAGATTTGGTTGTTACAATTAAATATCTAATTAGGATAATTGAATATATAAAGTTGACTTATTTTAAAAATTAATAACGTTAAGCACTATGGAAACCAATAAAGTTAATAAGTATCCTAAAAATGACAAAATATGATACCATACAAAAAATGTCCATAGAAATATGTATAGAACAGGAGTTTTTAATTTTTACTATCAGGAAAACTTCTATAGATGAATTTGATATTGTTTTATAAGCATGCGTGAGTAACTTTTTTGTTTCGTGAACCTTTATTGACTGATAAGGACAATATCAGTTAGCTATTTAAATTAATATTATACATTTTTTAATTTAAAATAATACTTTTGTGTATTTTTTAAAACAAATTTTATTACAAAGTTGTTATTTTAGAATACTTCTTAGATAAAGAAATAGTATGGAATACGGATGGTAAGAAATTATTAAACTAAAATATTTATATTATTGTATCATCTTAGAAAAAGAAATAACACATCCCCAGTACACACAAAAAAAANCACAGAATACATTATATTGATACATTTAAATATAAAAAATATAAAAAGGTATAATAAAAATATCATGTCTTTTGGTTAAAATTCTTACGGATTTATATTATTTTAAATCCAAGTTCAATTATAACCAATAATATTAACGTCTCTAGTTTCATTAACGCTATAAATTGGTGTTATTTTAACCCCTTGAATATAATACAAATCAACACTATACTAGTCCTAAGTGAAATTCTACGTACAATTGTGTATGACTACAATACCACTTGGGGTTAAAGTAACTATCCCTATTTTTGCGTTACTTTAAAAAAATTCAAATAATAGGAAAACCCAGCATAGTGGGGAAGCCATATAAAACAAGTATACATGATATCTGACAGTGATTAACATAACTTTCATAGATTTATTTCAGAATAATAATTTGTATATTTGTAACTTTATAATTTGAAACTTTCAATTTATGAGTACGTTTCAGTGATTATATACGAGTGTCAGTGGTAAATTTGTAATATAATTAAAACTTTGATATAGTCAATTATAATCAATTTAATTACGTAAGACACTGATTCTAATTAGCCTTATAGATACTACAACGAATGTGATACATAATATTAATAATTTTTAGACATTTTGGTTTCAGTGATCATTTTAACAAAAAAATTATTAGAATTATAATTCTTAATTTTTGATCTAGTAGCCCATTTTTGAAAATTTTTAAGGCCTTTAATGTTGTGAGTCATGTATTGATTTAATAAAAACTTTGTTGAAAAGATAAAAAAAATATTACGCTCTTTTTTTTTATCTCATCGAAAATATAAAGGGGAATGTCGTTAGATTGTGAGATTAATCGAACATGAACAGAACACATACACTTAGGTATAATGATTGATAACTAAAACTAGATCAGTCATCCATTTGTGTTGTTTTTTACTAATAAGGAGAGGTCATGGGGTCATTAATTTTCATAAAATTTATATAAGGTGATTTTTTTATTATAACCCACTCAATTACTTACAGAATAATTATAATTTAAACATTTCTTTTTTTTAGTTTTCTTTAGTTACACATTATTTTTTAATTATTAACTATTTAAAACTTTTCATATTCATCCCTTATGCCTTGTTAGGGTGTCCACTTTGTTTTTTTTAATTAGGAACACATATTTTGAATTTTATTGTTTGGATTTTTAATTGAATAGTAAATAGCATTNAAAATGTTTGGATTTTTAATTGAATAGTAAATAGCATTTGAATTTTTAATATAACTTTATTAGTTTATTAGATATAAACATTTAAATTTTCAAATTTTTAAGTTAATATTCAGCTAATCAATTAGCTACCTGTATTTGTAATCCCTTGTGTATTATACATGTATATTAACTTAAAAATTTGAAACTTTAAATATTTATATCTAATAAACTAATAAAGTTATATTAAAAATTCAAATGCTATTTACTATACAATTAAAAATCCTAACATTTTATTAAATTCAAAATATGTGTTCCCATGTAAAAAAACAAAAGTGGACACTCTTACAAGGCATAAGGGATGAACATAAAAAGTTTTAAATAGTTAATAAGTCAAGAATAATGTGTAACAAAAAAAAACCAAAAAAAAAAAATTCTTAAATTATTATTACTCTGTAAGTAATAGAGTGAGTTATGATAAAAAAATCACCCTGCATAAATCTAATCTATGTTAAATACAAAATAAGAGGTATTTTGAATTTTTTGCCAATGTCCCCCCCTAAGTCAAGAAAATTGACTGAATATTTTTAATTAGCTTAAATAAGGTAATTTTTCTTCCACAGACAACAACGTGTTATGGTCGAATCGAGAATGCGTGATTCTTAACGCGTACAGATACGCATTGACCCGTCAGGTAATGAAATTTTTTTTCACGGTTTTCTCTTTAAATTATGCATGTTACGTAATATTTGTTAATTTTTTTTTACATTTTATGCATCTACAGGTTGTTCAGTAAGTTAAGAAACAGGAAAATTGTTCAAACCAAGAGAACGATGGAAACCCGTTTCCTTGCTTACTGATCACTTTGTATATAATTAAACCTTTCAAAAATCTCTCTCATTTAAAAATTTATATACTTTTACTGGGTTAATATTAAAATAAGTTATATTTACGTGCATAAAGTATTATTTTATTTTATTCATATTTTATCACTGAAAAATCGATAATTTATACCATCAAATGTGTTTTGAATGTAGATAAAACTATACATTGTTTGTAAAAATGAGAACAATAGAAACCCGTTTCCTGACTTACTGAACACCCTGTATAGATACATGAAATGTAAAAAAAATTAACAAATATTACGTAAAATTAATAATTCAAAGAAAAAACCGTGAAAACAAATTTTTTTACCTGACGGACGTGATCGATTCCTGGTCCGTAAGCGTTATAGGATCACGTATTCTCGATTTGTCCATAATATGTTGTTGTTTGCGGGAGAAAAATGACCCTATTTAAGCTAATTAAAAATATTCAAAGTCATTTTTCTCGACTTGGGGGAGCATTGGAAATTCATATATTCAATATAGATTAGATTTATATAAATTTTATGAAAATCGGTGACCCATCACCGTGACCTCCCCTTGTAAGTCTAATTCTACGAATCAATACAATATCCTTATATATCATACTTTTCAATAATGTCTTTTCACATACATTACCAATAACATAATAGCCGTAAAATATCTATTTATTCTAGTTGTAACTTAGAATTAATACGAATTATTGTCAATAGTTAACGTAACAAATCAAGTTCAAAAATGGTGTCATTATATTATATAATACCTGTGTAAAAATCGCCTGGTTGGGTTCTGTTCTGCGATATTTGTCGCCACAAAACTTATTTAAAGTAATCTTAAAACTCGCTTATTCATACCACAAATTATAATTTTTAAATTCAGTTTTTAAAATCATTGAAGCCGAAACCATATACCTTATTTTTATTAGATTTGGATTGGTTCTAGCTACTAGTTTGTGCCATCAGATANACGATATTTGTCGCCACAAAACTTATTTAAAGTAATCTAAAACTCGCTTATTCATACCACAAATTATAATTTTTAAATTCAGTTATTAAAATCATTGAAGCCGAAACCATATACCTTATTTTTATTAGATTTGGATTGGTTCTAGCTACTAGTTTGTGCCATCAGATATACTATTGTAACTCACTATGGTTGTTTTAGAATCATGCTTAAGTAACTTGTTAGTCTAGTGTACCTTTATTAACTGATAAAGGCACAATATCAGTTTGCTGTTTAAATTAATATTATATATTTATTAATTAAAAATAGTATTTTTATGTATTATTATATACTTTTTAAAACAAATTACATTAAACAAATATTATTTTATAATATTTCCCAGTCGCAAAAAGAGAAATGGTTTTGACAAGTAAGAAATTATTAAATATATTTTTTAAAACTTAATAAACTACTATGAGCAATTTAGTTTATATTGTATAATTTATAATAGAAGTTCCGATACACATATATTTAATAAATAAAAATGAATTTTTTTTTTTATTAATTTTTTGTAATTTTGAGTTTAATTTCATATACATTTTATTGACATGTTTGAGTTAAATATACATAGATATATTAATAACAAAACATTGATAATTCACATGCATTTATTAAATACACGTTGAAAATCTTATTGAATAATTGATTATTTTAAATTGATAATATATTAATGTTTTATCATCAATTTTTAATTTTGAAAAATACATTTTAAAATACTTTTATAAATTTGTGTGATACTGTTAAAATTCGCAAATAGTCATGCATCCTGTAATTAATAGCAAACAGTCTAGTTGATTAAGTAAAATTAAAACTATATTAAAAATATTATTAATTTAAAAAACTAAAAAATATTAAACTCAAAGCCACAAAAAATTAATGAAAAGTCGCAGATACGTATTTCGGAAACAATGTTACCATTATCAACGCTAAACACATACTGACACCCCGACTAGAAAAAACTCCCTTATATACCCCTAGTGACGTCATCACTAAGTAATATTATCACATTTTGCCAGTTTACACAAGTTTAATAATGAATTTTTCAGTGGGCCAAGATCCCAATTAATTAAATTGTTTTTATTTTTAAACATTTCTATTGCTTCTCTGATATTAAGTTCTTTGTAATTATTTACGTTTTTAATTAGTTTTATGGTTTTAATGGAGTGATTATGTGTCAATAAATGTTCAGCCACTGGAGATTTCTCAACTTCTTGATTTTTAATATTTCTTAAGTGCTCTTTAAACCTGACCCCTATATTTCTTTTTGTTTGTCCTACGTAACATTTATTACAACTTTCACATTGTATTTTATAAATGCCTGATTTCCCCCCTTCATCTACCTTATCTTTAGGGTTACCTAATAAATCTCTTAAATTATTACTCTTAGATGTTACCAAAGTAATACCAAAATTCTTAAATATTTTAGTTAATCCATTTGAGATGCCCGGATAATATAAAATTGGTGATCTAATTACTTTTTGTTCCCCCTCGCTGGTGAGTGTACTAGCTGCCCTCCTTTCTTTTTTCCACTTTTGTGTTCGGACTAATTTTGAAATTATGTTTTCGTTATACCCATTAAATTTAGCTATTTCTTTTATAACCACTAATTCTTTATCATAATCTATTTTGAATAATTAATATTCCGATATATTAATTAATCTGTAAAACGATAAATCTGTAATATTCCGATGAATAAAATTCATAATATTGTTTAAATAAAAACAAATGTTTCATAAAATTTACAGTTAAAAAACCCAGCACAGTGGGATCGCAGCACAGTGGGAACGTGGCATAGTTGAGTCAATTTTAATGATATCTGTCAGTGATTAAAATCACTATCATAAAAAACGCTTCGAGGCAAATCTGTAAATAGTGTTTAATTTAAAAAAAATGGTGGATTATTCCATAAGCTTTATGATCTGCTATTTCATTAATTAAGACAAAGTTTGTCAAATGAAAAAGGGATATAAATATTATTTATCATAAAATAATTGTATTGATTCATATATTTTTCAAAAAGATATAACATTATAAAATTAAAAATATAAAAAAGAATTTTTTTACAAAAATCTTATTTTTTTATTAACTTTGATGTTAATTATCATCATGAAAACAAACTAAAGTCTGAAATTTTTCTTTTTCCATAATAAGTATATTATATAAGCTCTAATTTAAGATATATATATATGTGTCAGTATTTCCGAAACACTTTCAAAAGTTAATTTTTCTATATGCATTTTTAAGTTTTGAACCCCCCATTTACAAAGGGTAATGGTTTGATTAAAAAAAAAATATGTCGCATAAAAGAAGAATATAAATAGTACTTATCTTAAATAAATTATAATTATCCATACATTTTTCAAAAAGTTATAGCGTTATGAAGTCAAAAATATAAAAAAGAATTTTTTTACAAAATCGTATTTTTTTTTTATTAACTTTGATGTCCCGTTTCACCGTAAAGACAAAATAAAGTAAAATATTTTCATGATAAAGTGTATTACATAACTATTATTATTAACTTATTAACTCGTTTATGCTCATCCTTTAAATGCATAGATAATAATAGATTTTAATTTTAATTTTATCTCTAAAAAAATTTAGATCATCTATTGGAACAACTAAGCATTGAAGGTAAAGTGTATTAATTAAAAAATAAAAAATCGTAACTATATTATTGATAAATGTAGCATCGCCACCGTGACAACTAAACATTTTAAGATTTTATATTTTTCGAGAAATCCTTACAATATTAACACATATTTTAAGTGGTATTGAAAGAAATTTTTTTTTTTTGTATAATGGAGTAGTTAAAAGTCTATTCATATTGTTAGGAAAACAAAAATAGCTTTGTTTTTCTACTTTTGAATAATTTTGAGAAATCAAAATGTGGTTTTAACAATGAAATGATACTACGTTGTAAAATAGTTAAATAATGAGTTTTCTAATTTCTTAATAAATTTATGTAATTTATTACTTTTTTTTTTTAAATATGTTCAACTCTCATTTACATCTCGTTATTTAAAAACTACGAAAAAATATTGACTGGTGAATAAACAAAAAACACAAATTACTGGGAATACGGTATAGTAAAAAAATATATTATCACTATAATAAAAAAAATCCTTTGATGGGAATCTGATAAATTTTTTGTTTAAATAGTGCATTTTAAAGTGAAATAAAAGATTAAATTTACTACATTATTTATACTTTTTCATTGAATTTTCTTAAAAAGCATACCAAAAACTTATTGTTTCTTACTAAAATTTGATTAAGATCAGTGTTTTTTTAAAAAATAATAAAAATTTCTTACAACACATTAGATATTTATAATTGTTTATAAAAATAAATTAAATTTAAATATATATATTTTATGAAAAAATTTATTATTTAACAAAAAGATGAGTTAGTAATATTTGTATAAATAAAAGTCCTATTTTAAATATCTGTATTTTAGTAATTTATTATTACAAAAATTTATTATTTATTTGTTAACCAGAACGACGTAATGCGATTTATTTTATGATTAATGAGACTCAAAGATCATTTGGTAAGAAAAAACTCAATCATATTAAATTTATGTTAATGTTAAGTAAAATGAATAACTCAGCTTCATAATTTAACTTAAAACAAACATTTTATTAATTTTAGTAACGAACTATGCCTTTTCATAACATTTTAAAAAACATCATGATGTAGTACATAATCAGCGATAAAAGTTGTAGTTGGTGCCACCAACCAATGCCATAAATAATTCCTAAAAATAATTTTAGGTAATTATTTATTAATGTGTACACTTGATCATTTTCACTATCATTTTTGTTAAAAGTTCTAATTTTAATAAAAAAAATCAATATAATAAAGAGATTTGGTGAATATTACAGATTTTTTGCTAGGAAAATTAAAATTAGAAAAAAATATACTAAGGAACTCCCTGTAAAATTGCAACTCAAAATGATATGTAACACGATAATGTTAGTAGGGGTCATTTTTAAGACGAATAGGAAGAAAAAAAATTAAATAAAACCGTTTGACTTCTTAGTTTGTATGAGAATTTTGAGAGCAATATCGGGGTGTAGTTTATTTTTATTTGTAGAGTCCTCTGAAAAGGATCAGGCCAATATTGCAAGAGCATCACATTTTACCAAACACTCAGTTTGGATTTCATGAGAGACACTCTACCATACATCAAGTTTATAGGCTAACTGATACAATAGCTTCAGCGTTAGAAAACCGCAAATACTGCACTGGACTATTCCTCGATGTAACCCAGGCCTTTGACAGAGTGGGGCATGACGGACTGCTTTTCAAATTAAAACACATATTTCCAGCACCTTTATATTTAATAATTTAGTCCTACCTTTATGAAAGGAAGTTCACAGTAAGACGTTTTGCAAATTCTCCCTTTAACAAAATTCAAGCAGGCGTCCCCCAAGGAAGCGACCTGTCTCCCTATCTTTACAATATATTTACTGCAGACATACTCCAGACTACTGGTATTCATCTCGCTACGTTTACCGACGATACGGCTATACTTTCTACTCATAGTAATATTTCTCAAGCAGACCATTACCTTCAAACGCATGTAATCATTATGGAATCATGGTTCAAGAACTGGAAAATAAAAATTAATGAAAATAAATCAAGTCATGTAACATTCGCCCTCTGTTCTGAAAAATGTCCAGCTATAACATTCAACAACATATTAATTAATAACCAAAACGAAACCAATTACCTAGGTATAATATTGGACAAACGATTAACCTTAAAGACAAAAGGAAAAAAGCCAACAGCAGACTCCATCTCTTTCGTCAACTACTCAAATCAAAATTACCGCTTAAAACAAAAATACTCATTTATTAGTCATTAATCAGACTAGTCTGGTCTTATGGCATCCAGATATGGGGATAGAAAGAAAATTTATTTCAATTTAATTTAATTTAAAAATTATATATTTGTGAAACACCTAGATCAGATGGAATCAGAGTAGCATTTTAGAAAAAATGAAATAAATATGAAACTAAAAATTTAAATAATTATTAGTTTAAAAAATGTAATCGTTACATAGATTCTTTTGAAAAATAATACTTTTTTACAGTGAAAAAATTATACTTTATACACCTACAATTCAATAAATCTGTAATTAATAAATATGCCATTATTTTAAATTGAAAATTAACTATACTGTAATCAACTATACTGTTTATCTCATATTTCAGAGGATATAAGTAAATGGTTTTTTCCATTAGGTGAGTAATTTATCTTAGTAAGATAACTGGTCCAGTTAGTGAACACTCTCCATCCCAAAGGTTAACACTGTCGGAATCTCTTAAACTTTGTTAATTTTTGATGTACAACCTTCCTTATATCAAAATATAAAACATTTATAATAACATTTAAATATGCTATGAGTAATTAAAATTTTAAATACTCTTAATTATTAAAATAATAAATAAGTGTGTTTCTTAAACAACATATAAAATTTCAAGCTCGCATGTTATCGGGTTGTTATTTGAACTATAGATTTTATTATTTAAAAAAAGGTCATTTGTTATCAATTTTTTAACAAATTAAAAAATTATTTTTCTTAAAATTTTTAATTTTGTTTTATTAAAAATAAAGGTCAAATATGTCTAAATAATGTACGTAAAATAAAATAGAGAATTAATGAATCTTTTGGGTAATTTTTAAAACTTATCCCATTTACCTAAGTATCAATACATATTTTTGTAGAACAAGCATTCTAGATTTTAAATCAATAAAAAATGTATTTATAATCTATCTTGAAAAGAATTTCATTCAAGATATGTAGTGATCACTTAATACAAATAGTATATAAATCAAATTTTCATTAGTATTATATTTCGAACTTTTTCTAGTTTGGTGAAGTTTTATTACTATATAACCTTTTTTTCTGGTTTCTTAGGCTTCTTCCAAAAGTTAACCTTAAACATATTAAAATAAAGTGTTCTTTTTTTTTTTACTCGCCTATATCCCAATTAATTGGGGTTTTCTATCCTTATCCTAAACTTCCAATTCACATTATCTACTCGTACATAAGCCGTTCTCATATAGCATTTAACAAAATTCGTTCATCTCTTTTGTGGTGTTCCTTTCAACATTAATTTTCATAACTGTTCTTACAGCTTCCGATTTTTCTCTCCTCATTACATTATCAAACCATTTAAGTCTACATTCTCTCATCTTATCCACGATTGACGCTACACCTATACTCCCTCTTATATATTCGTTCCTTATCCTATCTTCTCTACTCCCTCCACTCATCAACCTAAGCATTTTCATCTCTGCTGCTTTCATTCTTTGTTCTATTCTCTTGTCAACCACCCAACACTCTTAATCATACATAGCTAGTTTGACTGTCATATAGATGTACCTTTCAGACTCATAAAAATTTGTCTCAGTATCATAATCTTTACTCAAATATATAAATACCATACACAGCTTTTTCTTCCTTTCCCTATACTTCTCTCATACACTGTCTCACACAAAAAATTGGTTCCATCGTTGACTATCCAGGAAAAAAACCAAACTAGTTTATTATAACTCATGTTTCTCTTCTTATTCTGTTGTCTATTACCTTTTCTCAAATCTTCATACTTTTTTTTTCCTCCTTACTCGACTTCATGTGAACCGCCCCGGAACTGCCGTGAGGCATTGTCAAAATCTTCATACTATGACTCATAAACCTTATGCCTGTATAATTTCCACACACTTGTATATCTCCTTTGCCTATGAATATTAGCACTGAATACTATTACTCCATTTTTTTGGATATTTCTCTTTTAATAGGATTTTGTAAAAAAGTTCGTTCAACCACTTTATACCAACATCTTTGTCTGATATATTTTTCATACTTCTACTGGCACTTCATCTAGTCCTACTGATTTATTCTTTTTCATTGATAACACAGCCTCACACACTTTTTTTCACTAATTAAATATACCAGTCTCTCATTCCATGAAATATCTTCTAATGTCTCTCTTGGATACTCCTCATTCAGTAATTTTTCAAAATACTATTTCTACCTTCATCATCACTCGTTAGTACTCTCTCATAATTTTTGATGCATTTTTCATTATGATAATCTTTAGACTACTTTTCTCTTACTTTTGTAAGTCATAGATTTCTTTTTCCCCTTTGTTTACTCCTAACCAATCATACAACTCATTATACTTCTTAAACTTCGCCTTACTCACCACACACTTAGTTTCATTACAGAAGCATTTGTACTCCATCCAATTTTCTCTCATTTAGCTCTTTTTTCATACAATAAAAGGACTTCCTAAGCATCTTCCGAAAGTTTATCTAAAAACGTATTCAAATAAAGTTTTACACTATTATCATATTTAATTTATGTATAGGATAGTAATAAATATCTATATATTTACTAATAAGAAGTACTGTAAATCGTATAGTGACAGTTCAATGAATTTAAATTTTGTGGACCCCCATTTAGAAACTAACAAAAAACAGTACAGCTGAATATCAGCGCTAAGGTGGCAACTAATTGATCTACTGCGTCAAGTCACTCCCCTATATTTAGACATTAGAAGTTAATTTTCGTAAAAATAAATCTTTTATATAATTTTGAATTTTGTTCATTATTTAATTGTTCAATAACTACGAATTACCCTGCATATAATTTCTTCAACAGTTTGCATGTAACCTGTAAAATGATAAACTGCAATTTAATTTTTTTTATTGTTTTGTTTTTAGTATATACAGATGAACATATAACTGATATGATAATTCAAGAACAAAAAAATCGAGAATATCTCCATGAATATTTTCGTAAGAATTTTTTTTTTGAAAATAGATTGTTTTATTTTATAAAAACTAAATTTAAATTATAATTCACGACTGGATAGAATGCAAATAAAATATTCGTAGAAATAAGATTCAAATTTTAAATAATACATACTTAACACATATTTTTATGGAATTCTTCATAAATACTAATCATGCTGAAGTATAATTTATTTTTTTATATTATAATTTGTTTTGATTCCAAAAATGTAGTCCATTTTAACTTTAGTAAAAATTGATTTCAGGACGTATAAATTCTAAGCCGAACATACTTCAAGACTACAATTATCATTTCAGTAAGTTCTATCTATTAAACTTCAAAAATGAATTCTCGTGTTGAAATTATTTATTTTCTTCGTATAATTTACTTTTTTACAAAAATACACAATATATAGATTAGATAAAAAATATAATTTTCATTTCTTTAAATAGTTATTCAATCTAGACAGATTATAACTGTAAATTAATGTCTTGCGAGTATAAAATAACTTAAATTATATAGAAAGAGCCATTCATATAAATAAAAGTATTTTTCAAAATTTGACTCTTAGAGAAGATAAAACTCAGCGAGAAGTTAAACAAGAAGGAACTCCAATAAATAAGTAAATGTTTAAAGCCCCTGACGCAATATTAGCTAAAGCAATTTGTAAGAGTAATGACAACAGTTAAATTATAAGTAAAGTAAATTATAAGACGAAATTTAGCAAAGAATAGATTAAAATATCTAATTTATTATTTATATTTACATTTCAATAAATTAATATACATTATATTTAAGATAATAAAAACTTTATTTGACATATTTATTTTTAGAAACCACTTTGTATGCTCAATTTCATAATCGGGGCCAATTGTTGGAAAATATATTTGAAAATATAAAACTTGAAATAATATTACGTTATTTAGCAAAAATTCAACCAGTTATAATAGAAGATGATATTCCTAATTGTAAAATAGATAAATAAACTTAATAATTCTTATATTATTTTATTATTATAATTTAACTTTACTATCTTAATTCCACATTGTTCAATTATTTTTTATCATTCTTCAAATTTATTTCTATTTATTGAATCCTCATTATTATAAGTTGAAAAACGGTAGCACAGTGGGTTCCATAGATTATGAATCACAATCTAGATAAATTATAATAATACTTATTATTTAAATATTATATAATATAACGTAGCAATCGTTGAATTTTATATTTATCATTTCATTACCGTTATCAATTATTGATGTTTACTGCGCGGCAAAACAGTCGTGACAAAAAAGGTAGCACAGTGTGGTCGTGGCATAGTTGGGATAAGTATAGATAATATTTGACAGTGATTAAAATCACTATCATCAGAAACACTACGATGCAAATGTGTAGATAGTGTTTTATTCTAAGAAATTGGTGGATAATTACAAAAGGAACATAAACTCTTATTTCATTAATTTTATCCTGATTAGTAATTCTTAGATTAAAAGATATAATATATAATATATATAGTTTTTAAATTATTATTTATGATTTATTTATGTACAGTAAATTTATAAGAAGAGTTCAATTTTTTTTACATTTTTATTCTAATAGATCACTTAAATAGAAATCATAGTAATCATTTCTAATTAACTCTTGGTGTTTAAAAAGATTCTACGATAGAAATATTCAGAATTTAATTAATTTTAATGATTTACTTTAACTAAAAGAACCAATAAAAAAAAGTTGTTAAATAGTTTTAATCAATTGAGCGTATTATAAATTTTGATTACAATTGTAAAAATGCATTGTTAAATTCAGGTGAAACTAAAAATCATTTTTTTTGAGATTTATGATTTATATAGGAAAATGTCACAAACAAATTTGGAATGTTATAGACTGATAATAGCACACACAAATAGAGTTAAAAAATTAATAAATTACAAAGTAAAATTATTTATATTTGTAGTTGAATATAGTATTCAATTTGATATGATAATAGTTATCATATCAAATTTAAGTCGACAGTAAATACTTTAAAAATATTAGAAATGAATGAGTTTAATTGTTTATATGGATAAAGCTGGTTAGCTACTTCTTATTTAACTCAGAAATTTGTTTTCAATTTTTTAAGGGTAACATCTTCAACTAAATACGAATTGTAATCATTTGACGTATTGTTGAAAAAAGTAGGTCGAGTGAGGGTTGGCAAAATAAATAGTAGCCACAAAAAAAACCCCATAGTAAAATAATATTAACATGAATAAGAAATTTCTTCTCACGAGGGGAGACTATAGCGATAGGATCCTTGATATTTATTAAAATTATTGAATCTAAATGAGATAAAAATCAAATTATTTGAAAATTTTTTTCTAATTCAAAAAAAATGCAAAATATTATTCGCCACGGGTGAATGCGAACCTTGTACTCTAAGCGTGAAAGACACAAGTGTTACCGATTCGGCATTTGTTCGTTGCTTTCGTGGCATGATAAAATTAGCAATTTAAACTAATTCAAAGTTAAAAATTACTTTGTCGGGTTTAAAAAAGTAAAAAAATTTAATAAGTTTAATTTCTTATATCTTATGAACTTGATTCTATGTCAATTAAGTTATATAATATTCATGAAAGTCAGTGTATTCTCCTTGTAAGATATTTTCAAATAAAATAAAATACAAAACCCAGAATTTTAACACAAAAATAACATATTTTTGAATACGGTAGTCATTTTCACCAAAAAGAAAATCTATATTTCGAATTTTTTTTTTTCATAGTAAAGTATATAATATAAGCTTTAATTTAAGATTACTTAAAAGTGTAAATATTTCCGGAACATTTTCAAAAGTTAAATTGAATAAGTTAGTTTTTGTAAAAAAAATTGTTATTTTAAATCCTACCCTGTGAGCAGGTTAAGTGTTAGATTTTCCAAAAATGATATTAAATGAAAGGGAAATATCTAAGATTTTAATATAAAAAAAATTATGTTAATTTGTTGATTTTTGAAAAATTAATGGAAGTTTTAAGAAAAAAAAGATAAAATTTACCGATTTTAAAAATTGTAATTTTTTTGGAGATTTCCCCCATTTACGGGGAACGAGAGAAATTTTTTCAATTTTTAAGGGTAATGTTTTCAACTAGATACGATTTGTGATCTTTTGACGTATTGTTGAAAGAAATCATTGTTCATGATTTCAACAATTCATGTTAAAAGACATAAAAAAAAACACATCATGGTAAAATTAATACCTTCTCAGCTTCGCATGGAAGTTAAAACGATTGATACGAATGATTTTATAGAAGCTTCTCCATAACCTGTTACTATATTTCTTTCAACTTCGCCTTCGATGTGTAACAAAGATTCGCTGTGAATGTTTGAACGGAACTCCCGGTTATAATGTGCGCGTTAGTGAACGTCCGGTTGGGTTGTCTAATTATGCCGGAGAAAGAAATAGGGAGTGGACTGTATATAAGATTGAGGATGGTACTTACACTAAATAAAATTATACGAATTACAAGACAAGAATTGTGGATTGGGGGGGTCACTTAATACTAAAATGGCCAACAAGGCATCTCTGAACAAAATAGATAAAATATAATATAATAATTACAAACAAATAAAAACTTAACTGTGTAACGTACAATAGATGAAAGATGACTGATGACGGTGAGAAATGAACAGTTGGAATACTTAACATTAAAATGTTGAAGACTACAAGGGTAGTCGATACAAACGGAGGCACTTGTTATGTACACGAAGGGCGCACAATGGCATAGACTGGTATAGCAATTCTATACCCACGACGAATCATCAGGGTGGTTAATCCATTAAAGCGACTATGGGCTAGGTGCACCATAGAACCACGTAGCAAGGGCTAGCAATGGTGGCAAAACTCACAAAAGGGACCGATAATGGTTCGGCGAGACACGATAATCACGTACACTAGCATCCAACGCAGTGACAAATTCCTCGCACAACCGGTGGTGGCAGCGCGAGTGGCGCTATCAGTCACAACAAAATCTAAGAAAAACGCCCTCTTGTGATGCATATCCAACAGTGGAGAGTATATAAATCTTGATGTTGTATCGCAATTCGTATTTCATCGTTATTCGACAGCGCGTTACTAGAAAATGGTTGATACGAATAGTATTCAAATTTTGTTATAGTTTCTTCGAAGTACGGTTTTTCGTATATGTTCAGAATATCTTCCATTGCGATTATCAAGTGTATAACCAAGATTAGTCAAGCTCTCCTTTGTTAACTCTGGAAGTTTTGAAATTGAACTGTTCTCAACTTCATGAAAACTTCTCTTTTTAACGTTATATTGTATACCCATATTGAATATGAACACAAACTGTTACACTTTTTCCTCAGAAATCGACAAGCTCTCCGTTGTGATCTTTAATTTCAGTTTTTACGTTGTCTATTTGATTGGTCAACTCGGAATAATATATAAGATTATTAGGTGATTCTACAATCTTATAACCGGGTGACACCAAGGGATAAAACTCGTGAATAGAACACGTCTGGCGTCCGTTAACAAATGCTCCATGTACAATATCACACTTTATTCTTATACACGATAGTGGGTTAATATAAACTATTTGTTCTGATTCATGTATGACACCGCCTTCAAACATTCTATTATTGAATCCCAACAACTCTCCTATGCTATTGTTTGCTGTGAATTCTACTGTCTTATTACTAATACTTATAGAAACGAATTAAAAAGTTTATTGCTAGAAAATTCAGGTGAAATGGCAAATATATTGCCAAAAGTATATAGAACTTCACAGCAGTATTGAATGGGTGTCATGTACTACATGTTGTCGTAGAGTGGTAATTGATTGTATAGCTAATGAGTATAGACCAAATGAATATAAAAATTTTGATTTTTATTGCATTTTATGTGACAAGACTATTAATTAAGTAAAACTATTTATTATAAAAGTGTCATTTTTAAATCATTGTCTCTATAACAAAACTAAGTATTCCAACATTATTTATATTATTATTATTATAAAAGAAGAATATAAAAAGTACTTATCTTAAAAAAAATTATAATAATCTATACATTTTTCAAAAAGTTATAGCGTTACAAATTAAAAATTGAAAAAAATTCCCTCGTTCCCTGTAAATGGGGGAAACCTCCAAAAAAATTACAAATTTAAAAATCGCTAATTTTCGAAATTTTTTCAATTTTTTTTACTTAAAAGTGCCATAACTTTTTTAAAAATGAACATATCAATATAATTATTTTTTATATAGATGCATAATACTATTACCTTTCATTTGGTATATTTTTTTCATAAATTTAACCCTTAACCTGCCCACAAGGGGAGATTTAAAATGACAACTTTTTCACAAAAAATTAATTTTTTTAACTTAAATTTTGAAAATGTTCCGGAAGGTCTGACACTTTTATATATATCTTAAATTAAAGCTAATGTAATATGCTTTATCATGAAAAAAAAAAATTTCGGACTTTATCTTATCTTCATGGTGAAAATGGCTACCGAATGCTATTTTTGTGTGAAAATTTTCGATTTTGTATTTTCCATTTTTAACTTTATTATGCTATAACTTTTTGAAAAATGTATGAATCATTACAATTTTTTTATGAGAAGTAGTATTTATATAGATCTTTCATTCGACATACTGTTTTTTTAAATCGGACCATTTCCCTAAATACAGGGGGGATTCAAAACATAAAAATGCATATAGAAAGTAGAACTTTTTCAACGTAACTTTTGAAAGTGTTCCGGAAGGTCTGACACTTTTATATATATCTTAAATTAAAGCTAATGTAATATACTTTATAATGGTAAAAAAAAATTTCGGACTTTATTTTATCTTCATGGTGAAAACAGACATTAAACTTAATAAAAAAAATACGATTTTTGTAAAAAAATTCTTTTTTATATTTTTAACTTTATAATGCTATAACTTTTTGAAAGATGTATGGATCAATATAATTCTTTTTTTTTGTAGATGCATGATGTCTTTACCTATCATTTG